TATATATATATATATATATATGTATATATTTTTTTATTACCCTAGAGTTTTAAATGTGAATGTGTTTCCTTTGTAATTATTACAGATGGAACAAAAGTTCAGAGAATTCCAAAATGAACATTTATTACTTTGCTTTAAATTATGCACAGATAACGGTGTACTGCAAGGCGACCATCCAACAGCACATGTTGTTTACTTGACGAAACCAAAGCTATATGCTAATGGTGTGACGCACAACGTTATTTTTAAAATAAATTATTTTACTGCAGTAGTCCTGTAGTGATGCTTCTTTGACAGTGATGCGAACAGTGTAAATACTGCAGTGTTCCTCTTCATGAAATGGTACATCTTTTACTGCTGACTTCCTCTGCCTCCAGTCGAATCTTATCTGAAAGACGAACATTTGATGAAGTAAAACTTTGGAACAGGCGGTGCAGAAGACATAAATTTCTGTTTATCGGCGTACTTGTTAACAGAGTGTACCTGCAGCTTTTGTGTTCCCAGTGCAGATGAGGCCCTGGTAGAGGTCTTTAGCAGGGGCCTTCAGAGCCAGTTCCTCCCCATGAAGCCAGATCAGCAGCATTCTGTTCCCATGCTCCTGATAACTGTGCTGACCTGCAGGTAAACGCACAACCCTTTAAGTTCAGAAAAAAAGGTCAACCTGCAAAAAATACCCTAAAGATACCAAATTACAACTTGGAAAATAAGCTGTAAAAATTTCAATGTCATTTAATGTCATACTGGGATATAAAAATTTTTTACCTAAGATTTCAGGGTATTTAATTAATGTGTTTGACTCAAGAAGGTTAAGTTAGATTTTCAGAGGGTTGCCAAATGCACAGCAGAAACCTGCCCTGTCAGTGTGTGAGTTATGGCACCTGTCCACTGCTCCTCGATGGCAGACACTTGGTCCTGAGTAAAGTCCCAGTGTGTTGCCAGTCTTTTCCAGTCTCCTGGTTTCAGCAGCTTGTACGCCAGGCGCCAGGCCATCGAATACAGCTCCTTGTTCTCACTGCGGCGGTCAAATTTGAACGTCAGTGCATGCTCGGTGCGAACAATCTCATTAAGCTCAGGGTTAGCCTGAAAGGGCAATTAAATCATGTCAGCAGGCTGATAAAGGCCACGCTCTCCAGACAACAGAGGGGCACAGGAAGAAAATTTTGGCAAGACACTAACACATATGATTAGCAATATAAATGTCAGAGTGAAACATTTTGAAAATCAATAATGGAGGAGAATTAAGGCATATTCTTAATTAAACTGATGATAAATCGTATGTCGAATGTTTCTGGGCTCCGAATCACTTTTACAGTGAATGCTTTAATAGAATTAGAGGGGATTCAGCTAATCGAGGATGTGACACTGAATCATTCATGGTGAAAGTAATTATTGATTTCAAAGCATCGCGAATGGATTATGCTCATGAAAGTTACAAGTATCATTTGATTATCCCCTCACCTTTTTCTGGTCATAGTATCGTTCTGCTTTGATGATCATGTCCACAATGTTTACCTCATCTGCTCTGGCTGCAACACCCAGAGCAGTCTTACCCTGCTACTCCGAATCCAGCATGTACAGTGAAAAACAAATTCAATTAGAACTGCAAGAGATTGCATTTAGTTTGATTTTTCTTGTATTTTCAGTGTATCATGCTGCGACAAAGGCTTACATTAATTATCATTTTTAGGATAGCATTAGTATACAGTTTAATTTCATTAATATGACAAATGCATCTTACCCGGTCCTTGACTGTTAGATCAGGCCCAGCTTTAAGAAGCATTTCCACAACCTCAGCTTTGGCAGTCTCAGCAGCAATGTGCATAGCTGTCTGAGACCTCTAACAGTCCAAAGCATGACACGACATAACGATAAGCAGAAATTAGTTTGTCTACATTATGTTCATGGATGCTTTATTTTACTGTCTTAGGCAGGAGCTTGTACCTTATCTGTGGCATTGATATTGCAGCCAGCCTCCAATAGGTAATAGATAACAGGGATGTGACTGTTCTTCACTGCCAGGTGGAGAGGTGACTCTAGATCCTGAGAGCAATAATATTATGCTTCATAAAAGATGGATTACTCTGCCACTGCCTCCTATCTGGTTGTTTGCTTACCTGATTTTGAAAGTCCGCCTGGGCATTGTACTGCAAGAGAACTTGAACAAGAGCCGCGTCTCCTTTTTCTGCAACTGTATGGAGAGCGCTGCATTTGGCCTACAAAGAGTACAAAGTGAGTCCAGTTGTACTATGTCTAGAAGAATCTTTAAAAACTGATTTTGTTTATGACATATTTTTCAGGATAAACACCATAATGCATATTATATTAGTAGTGCGGTTAAAAGCAGAACAGTAGAAAAGGTATTTAGTTATTTGAATCTACACAGTACCAAAAAAAATACACCGGTACACAAACAAAAGTTACCAAAGAAAACACATGATTTTCTGAACTTGCATGTTAGGAACACTGATTACTGTAAGTATTTGATGTGTGTATTTTTCTCTTAGCCTGCACTGGTTCAGTAAAACTTGGCTGGGTATACTGCCTGAACGTACCACTGTGAGTATGTTGGGGTCACAACCGGCCTCCAGCAGGACCTGAGCACATTCTTCCTGACCATGGTCTGCAGCCTGGTACAGAGCGGTCTCACCATCCTGCAGCACAGAACATCCGTCAGCAATGATGGAAATGGAAAATTCTTCTAACATAATTAACATTTTAAGTTATTATTTATTATTATCATTATTAGTTATAACAAAGTAGAATTTCTTTACACTGAAGGAACGTTGGCTTGGATCATTCAATTAAATGCCAGCAAATTAGTTACTGCAGATCTTTTGGGGGGTAAGGTTTTGTAATTATCTCTTACTTTAATGCATCATTAAGCCACATCAGTACTAATACAAAGGAACACATTTATCATGTTCAGTTTACCTGTTACCTGCCAAAGTTCGATCCAGAAAGCTAAATGTGTCATTATACTAACCGGTAGATGTTTGATTCATCTCAATTGATCCCAAGTGGAGCCAGCATCCAGCAGTGGATTAGCTGCTGAGCTCACACTGTCACAAACCAAACCGTGATAGAGAGGATGTTTGCACTGATTGTCTACCATATTGACTTCATCCCGAGTATCAAAGCTCTGCAGCAGCAGTTGGACGACATCCAAGTGGCCGTTCCTGGCAGCTAAGTGCAGGGGCGTGTCCCCTCTCTGGCAGAAGGGAGGGAGGGAAACAGCTTGCATCAAAGAGTGTTTGACTTTGAGCTTTCTTGCAGGTGTGACACTGAAATGTGCACTCAAGGCACATGTGAGCATAAACAGCCATATACTCGGAAATAGATGCAGCAAAATCGCACAAATAAATCCTCGTGCACACCTTGTTGGGCTTCATGGTGGCCATGTTGTATGGCTCCATGAGCACCTGTAACATCTTAACACACCCGTGTTCTGCTGCCAGTGCAAATGCTCGGTGTCCTGACTGAAACACAAGAAAAGAGGCTCAGGTAATCACATGTAGTGCATGCACTTTAGCTCAAAAGGCAAGGCAAGGCAAGTTTATTTGTATAGCACAATTCAACAACAAGGTGATTCAAAGTGCTTTACAGAGACATTAGAAACAAAAAC